TGTATTCAGAATTTTAATAAACAAGGTTGTAGATAATATTTTTCATAAAATTAAGATTTTTGAAAAATAATGTGATAAGTCCTTTAAGCTGTTGCCAGGTAAATTGACCCTAGGTTAGAAAAATACCTGTACTTAAGAGAGTTAATTGAGATGCATAGAAAAAGTTCAAATAAATGCCCCCAGTAAGATAATGGTATGGAGTCCACAATGAGGAAATCAACAGAAAACAAATATATCACCGTGTTTATTATCAGGCAGGGGTGAGACTGAAATCCGTCATTTTTAAAATGACGATTTTTAGTCATAAAATAAAATTTTTATTATGACTTAAACTCGTCATTTTTAAGAAAATGACGAAAAACAGTCCTAAAAATTTAGAGAGTTCCTAGAAAAATGTTAGATCCACCAACCCAAAAAAGGACAAAAAACATCGTAAACAAACTTCATTTCTCTAATACAGTTGACTACAATACTGGTTATGTTGACAGTAGAAATTTCCCAAGCAAAAATAAGAGTGGAAGAGTTATTTGTCAATTTATTTGCATTAAATAGGAAAGAAGACGAAAATGATGATATTCCGTCTTTTTTCAAAGTGGAGGGTCTGGGCGCACTGAAATATTTCGCTTGTTCTACAGGGCGCACTACTTTTTTATGACATTAACTTTTTGTCGAGACTTTTCTCTACAAGTACGTATTCTTCCAGATGGTGTACTGTATGTTTTTATAGGGCTAAAAGCCATGTAAAAATGGCGAATTAGTTCTACCAAAATTCGACACTTTACCGCTAAATAATAACTTTCACCTTCCATGTTCATGTTCTCACGCACGTGGTCGGCAGTAATTAGTGACCCAGATGAAATGAAACTTGTGTAAACACTCTTCTTTAGCGTGAATTCAAATTTCGCTTTTATGTAACCAGGATAGAAGAATTAAGTTGAAAAAGAAAATATGACGATAGTAAGTCATATTGACAATCAAAGTACTGAAAGTACTGAAAGCCGGGCTTTAATATGTTCGAGTGTATTGTCTAATCCTAAATTAGTACATATTTGAAAATCTTTCTTTCTGACCATTGATATTTAACAGGTAGAGTTTGTATGATTATGATTAACAATAACCCATCTACCAATAATTTACGGTCCAGAACCCAACGTTAAGACCCCAGGATAGGACTTGGTGATATTTTTCATGAAAATATATTTATACCTTTATAAACATTAAGCTCACAATGGTTATGCATGGTAACAGTGCACTTTGAGTGGTTTTGCTGATTCATACAGGCACATATATAGTATCGGAGGAGCTAGGGGTGTCACCATTTTTCAAACATAAACTTTTACAATGGACAATGTACATTGAAAGGTTGATTGACTCTTCGCAATCAAATTTAAATTGGAACTTTCATCTCACTCTTCGTAATATAAACCAGGTATTTATCACGAGCGACGAACAGATTTACTAAAAGCAAAATGGATATAGTCTAATTTTAATTAGATTGTACCATCATTTTATTGTAGCATATTAAAAGTACGGTAATTTGGTAATGAATTAATGAAATTCGAAATGTGAAAGTAAGTTGTAGCCCACCCCTACTCCTTCTCCAACGGAATAGGATTTTCGGGTTTGGACAATTCTCCTTTTTTCTGATAATGATACTACACGCCTGTATTAATCAGAAAAGAAATATTCTTTATTTTTGGTCCTCTAGGAAACCAGCTGCACGAAAATTATAATTATCTAATCTTTATGACATGAATATGAGTCTAGTTCTAGTTCCAGGTTCGGCCATAATGGTCATTGCCTGAGAAAATCATGATGTATTCAGGTCTTTATGGCTCGTACATGGATGGCTCTTCATTCTGAACAGGAAGTTTTGAAGCAAAGACTAACCAACTTTTTCTGAAAAATTATAATGTGTTGTACTTAGATAAAGACTAATGAACATTTTTATATGTTGTTTTCTTTTAATTATATATTAACATAAACGTATTTTATTTCCGAGCACCCTTGAGAGCTTGCATGTGTTTTAAGACCTTTTTTTTTGGAATGCGCGCGCACGCTCAATATACTGTAAAGCGCTTTGGGAGCACATGCGAGATGAATCCAAGGTGAGAAGTCCCGAACAAAATTTTCACATTCAAAACATACCATTGACTTTTCACTAAAAATTTGATCTGAATTTATAAGCATAAAAATTTTCGACGCTAAATTGATTGTTAAATGGGTATAAATAATTTATATATTATACATAAACATATTCACATGAAATTTCTATCTTAAAGTTTACATTTTTATTTATTTATATTCCATGCTTCACAGAATATAAATCTTTATCCCTGTCATTTAAATTAATACTATTAAATTAAAATATTAACCAAATGGAATCGCATTGTTTATTTCATATTATGAAAGAAAACAAATAGTTTTGAACTTCATTTACATCACCTTTACACAAGATCTTAGCCGCTCGCGTGGCGCAGTGGTAAGAGCGTCTGCTCTAGAGTCGCGAAGTAAGGAGTTAATCCTTACGCCGCGGGTTCGAATCCCACTGTGGGACGTGGAGACCGGTCCTTCCGTTGAGACCGTATAAACCGAGGTCCCGTGTCGCAATAGGTGCTTGCACGAAAAAGATCCCTCACTACTCAATGGCCGTAAGTGCCGAGTATAGGACAAAATTTGGAGCTCTCCACCGGCAAGTGGTAGTGTCTCCATATGAGTGAAAAAATTCTCGAGAGGGACGTTAAACAAAATACAAACAAACAAACACAAGATCTTAACCATCATAAGGATTTTTTTTCGAAATTATTTATTAGAAAGGAGAAAGTTATTTTAATTGCATTCAGGGTTATCGAAGTAATACCGTATTTTCAAACCCTTTTCTTTAAACGCATTCAAATTTTAACTTATTTATTTGAGTAGTAATATATTGAAAACATTACAGCATTACCAGTATTACAACTGTAAGATTAATCTTCATGAATATTTACATACATACATCATAAGGCTAAAAAAAAATTGTTTGTTTCCGGTTATACCCGACTGACCTCCTACACATTTTTTTTTTCAGAAAATTACGAGTATCCGTAACTGTCTCTTTGTTTTACGAATTCGTAATGGCGGCGCACTTGTTTGCTGCAAGTAGTCGGTGTTCGCTGTTATTTTATGCCGTTAATATAATCATAAAATCATCATCTTTTTGCAATTATTTTGAAAGGAAAAATTTAATAATTTGTCTCCTGTTAAGCCGTTTTCACAAGATCAACCCTGAAAATATCAGCAGAAATTAACACGGTATCGTACCAAATTACATCATTCTGATAAATGACCACCGATGTTTTTAAAATTCATTATTACATTAACTTTCTTGCCATTCAAGACACCTTAATGCTATACTGATCTTAAAAAAACAATTACAGATATCACGACATTGTCAGTGAGCTTACTGTTTATACATGCATCACGGACGTAAATTCAGACTAATTATACTATAATATCAGTAAACGAACAAAAAATGTCATACAATTTTTTTTAATTCTACCAATAACATATGGCTAGTGAGGAGAATATATAAGTCATTTGTTTTATTTAATGTCACTAATTTAAACATTTAAGGTCACTAATTTTAACTTTTAAGAAAACAATTAATTTTTTACAAAAAATGTTTGTCTGTCAATTGCCAAACTTTTTTTTAAAAGAATGTTGAACCATATGGTTTGCTGATTTTTCTTTAGATATATATGAATTAGAAATTTATTTAAAAAAATTATATTCATATTGGTTTAATAATTTATGTAATTCATAGTTAAAGAAATGCACATATTTTTAGAGATATTATTAAAGTTTCAAACAAACAGTACTTTTATCGCCGACTAGGTACACCAGATACACCATGTACAATTGTCAGGCGACCTAATTCAGGCATAACGCACATTATTAATTCTTTAAACTCCAATTTACTTATCTATTTATTTGCTGAAAGACAAAACAGAGAATATAACCACTCACATAACATCGACGAAAACGATATGAAATATAGGCAACCTGTCGAAAAGCCCGCGCTTATTGAAAATAGTTCGCTTACAATATGCATTCAGTAGCGTATGTGCACAAATTGTTATATCACGATTACCCTAATAAAGTAAATATCTAATTCCTCTTTCAATTTAATTCTCAAACAAAAATATTGATCAATTAACAATTCCGTAGATTGAGATGTAAAAAATATTTGTTTAAGTATCGTCTTTCAATGTGACTATTTTGTTTATCGGAAGCGTCTGCTTTGACGCTGTTAGGCTTTTTGTTTACTTTTCTGAACATGTGCTATTTATAGTAAGGCAGTCGATCACGATGCCTACAGCCAGGACTTTGCTTTCAGCAAAGCCCGGCTAAAAATGATGAAAATACGTAGTTAGTAACTATCACGATTATCCATCATTTTTCAGAAATGACGGATTTCAGTCTCACCTCTGACTGATTATAGGTTATTGATAGATTATTTTCTACAGACAAATGCATGGTGATCCAGATTAATTGCTCTGTAAACATAGTAAAGTAGGTTAACTGTTTCAATTCAAGTATTATACATGTATTGATCAAATACTGATTCATTGACTGCAAAAAATAAGAACAATACAGAATTTAAACAAACATCAATAAGCCTCCATACCATAGGTATCAATTTACTTTAGCACTTTAAATTTATTAATTACCAGCTCTTAAATAAATGATTATTCGGAACTGGACAAAGGAATGTGTGCAGTACAATGTTGCTATAATTAATTTATTTAATTATGTGAATTAATTGTCTTTGACAGGAGGTTCTCGGTAGGATGTATAACATAACGACTATTAGAAAGAATTCCTCTGGAGATGCAACCAAAGGTCAGAGGTTATGACAAGATTACAGCAACCAAAGGTCAGAGGTTATGACCCTTAAGGTTACAGCTGGAGTCGTACAGGTCACTAGTCTCGTGGATCATTACAGACTCTAACCTATAGTCATGTCAACCAACATCAATACAGTAAGTTCAACATACAAAAGATACTAGAAAATATACCCTGGGGCAGTGTTCGAAATTCAGAATTATTTTGTATGGGTCCAAAGGACCAAAAGACAAAGGGGCTACATGAGTCCTTCCAAGGCATCATAGGCCCCAAAATAATACATCGTACCATCAAATATTTTGGAAAAATAAACTGTTATTGATGATCTGGGTAAGTTCATCGGTTTGTATATGTCACTTAAACTCCAAAGTATTAACAATATAAAACAATAAAACATTAAAAGTTACACAGTCTTACTTGGTCATATTTAAACACCTAAAGAGGTTAAAATGTGTTTATATTACTGTATGCATACTTTTTTTCCACAGGCTCAAATTCCGCGGTATTACAATTTCTGTTATTAAAATCCGTGGATAGAAAATTACACAGGTTTCTTAGGTTGCCACAAAATGTTAATAAAATGTGCTTTAAGTACACTGGGACTTTCCACGGAAAGTTTGTAATTGCATACATATAGGGTAAATTTATACCATGCAGAAAAAATTAAATCACGAAAAGATCTTGATAAATTAACAAGTTTTACCCATCTCAAATCTAATTTTTTTAAAGACACTCATTGGTCAATTTGTTCAATATATCCAATCAAAATGCGGGAAATATAATTAATGTACGCTAACCTGAATTGCAACTTCTAAGGCCTTTACGTTCTGACAAGCGGTGTAAAAAAAAAAACAGCGTGTTTTTTTTCCAAGCTTGCTGGTAAGGTTCAAGAAGATGCGATTGACATTAACTTGTTTCCCGGCAAATCATCGTCGGCCCAAAATAATTTCAGGGACCCATTTAGCCATACTGTACATGAGTCCTTCTGATTGTACATCGGCACATAACTGACGGACCGACGCTAATTTCGAACACTGCCCTGGGGATGTTGGTAATTTTTATTGTATTATTATTTTTTGTATTTTTATTGAAATAAGAATTGATGTGTGACCGTCGCTCGGGGAGGGTAGGGGTCCACCCGGAATAAGTAGTGCACCCTACAACACTTGGTCACGCAGTAACCATAAGACTTGGTTACTGTCCTTGACATAAAACCTTCAAGGATTAAGACATAAGTAGAAATGTCTTTTCCAGTCTTTATTACAGGAATATGTACATTATATATACACATCTAAGACTGGGTCTGCTAGCTGCATGCCCTAACTCAAGCTACATGTAACTCTCTCTATCACTCACTCTGACTAACTGTCCTCTTTCTACTCTCTAAACTACTATTCTTTTCTCAATATATATTTTGTTTTAAAGTAAATCTAGTAATTATTTGATTTACTCAATTTGGCTTTTCAATGAATGAGTAGGTGACATGGACAGGTAGAGTGATAATTGTTGTCACACCTGTCATGCTTTAAGAATAGATAATTAGGCAACTTAATTGACTTGAGAGATTAACTAATTATACTTCAATGGGATGAATAACAATGTGATATTAGCCAAACCATCTGGTAGACCTTAATACTGGATCAATTATTTAACTTTGACATCAACAGATATTGTAACTTAAGGGAAATGAAGTAATATCTTAAATTTACATCAATCACATCAATGCACATAATTATAAAATGCATCAAATTTTATTACTGTGATAACATATTGTTGACAAATGCATTGCGATCAGCTGCTTGTTTACATCTTACTGTGTGGCATAAACAGTTTTAATGCATTCTTATACTTTTATACAGCTGAAATAGAAAATTATTCCATTTTGTGGCATTTTGAAGCGTTGCTTGTTTTGCTTGATGTCACAGAAAATATTTCCTGAATAAATAAGGCTCCACCTCTTTTTTCAAGTTTTAATAGTGCTGTGTGAACATGTTGATGTCTTCTTTTTATATAAACATGTGATTGTCTTGGTTTTAGAATGTAGGATCAGATATTGATGCCTCGTTTTCGTCGTCCTTCTGTACAGAGCTGGATGCACAGATGCTGGTTGCCATGGAGACAATGGAGAGACCTCAAAGGTCACAGAAAGGTCAGCAGAAGTGTTGATTATTGATGTACATTTAGAAATCAGGCAGTTGTCAGTATTTAATATAGACATGAATATAATTGTTTGATGTTATTAATTACAGGTTTTCATGAGAAATTATGCATTACAGAAATGATAACTAACTGCCTTTCAAGTTACATGTGTGTTGCCATGCCTTACTTTTCAGATACTAAGATGACAACTCCTGGTCTGACATCAACACCAGAATGTGTGACACCGTTACCAAGACGACAGTCCCAGCTGATTAAATCCCTCTTCACCCTCCAGAGCCCCTTAAATGACAGCTTCCTCTCCCCCTTCCCATCTCAGACCAAAACCTCCAAAGTAAAGAAGATGGGAGGAAATCTGACCCCTGCTACTGTGAATAGCTCTGTTAGTAGAGGTGTAAAGCCCAGCAGAAAGAAACCAAGGAATGTTTTAAATGAAATTGTCAATGACAAAGAAAATGAAGGTGGAGGGGGTGTAGAGGAAGAGAAGAATGTCATTGACCTTGACATGATAGGTCAGAGGTCAGTGGGAGAAAAAAATGATGGTGATATGAGTACTGGAACACAAGAGCGGATTGCTGAAAATCAAGAGATGATGGAAAATGCTAATACTGGTGAGTTTAATGATTTATTTAGAATTAATTACATTAAATGTAAGCACCAACAACTTAAACAGTACTTACAAACAAGAAAATTTTTAATGAGAATTTGAAAGGCAGAATTTAAAAAAAAAATAATTTTATCAAGTTTTAATACAGTGACACTGAATAACAATGGGTGTCTTTCATGCTTACTGAATGAAGCAAATACAGAATATACATGTATACAATTCAGACATTAAGTACATAGTCCAGTGTGTTGTTTACATTCTTTTGTACAGATGGATGTTTGACAGAAGACAAGCTTTTATTAAGTAACTGGGGTCTGCCTGAGCCTGTATTAAAACAGTACACAGACAAAGGGATCACCTCCATGTTTCCCTGGCAAGCTGAATGTCTGTGTTTACCTGGGGTACTGGGTGAGTGAGATTGTAAGGAAATAGTTACTCAACAGAGTTATCTCTCTTTTTTTATCTGTTATACTGGGTTGTTGACAAATAATTACTCTGCAGAGTTATCTGTCTTTGTTGATTGTTCTGTGTCTAGGGGGAAATAAGGCCTACGGAAAAGGCATGTTAGTTTCTTTTTTCCAAACAGACCTTATTTTTAAAAAAATGTTTTTCAGTGAATATCTGAATTTTAAGTTTTTGTCACTTGAACAGTGTTGAATGAAAATTTCTAATATGAAATAATAGTCATAGATTTGCCTTAAAGCACTTTTTTCCTGTCATCAGTTTTAATTAGATGTTTTATTTAAGAAGTTCAGGGTGAAAATAAGAAATGAGTAAATAAAAATTTTCAACCTACCTTCCCTTATTTTTTTTCAGATTAAAGGTGAAAACAAAAATTTTTTTTCCAGACCTTACCTGGTGTATTCAGCCCCTTCTATCAATCTACAGTTAAATCTCTTTATATCTCTTTGTTTATTTAAACATACACACTGAATGAGCATTATCTTATGTGTACCCAGGGGGAAGTAATCTACTTTATTTAGCCCCTACCTTCTATTACTCTGAGGAGTTGTCTCCCCATTTTGATAAACTGACATTATTCCCTAGGGGTACATATAACCTCTATTACTCTGTAGAGTTATCTCTCTTTGGATATTAACTCTGACATTATTCCAAGGGGAGGTAACCTGGTGTATTGAGCCCCCACTCTTACTCAACAGAGTTATCTTTCTTGATTGTACCATCATTGTTTTGTGTGTACCTACATGTGGGGGGGGGGGTAACCTGGTATACTCAGCCCCCACTGTTATTCTGCAGAGTTATCTATCTTTGTTGTTTGTATCATCATTGTTTTATGTGTATCTAGGGGGAGGTAACTCTGTATACTCAGCCCCCCACTATTCCTCTGCAGAGTTATCTATCTTTGTTATTTGTATCATCATCGTTTTATGTGTATCTAGGGGGAGGTAACCTGGTATACTCAGCCCCCACTAGTGCTGGTAAAACAATGGTGGCTGAGCTCCTGGTCCTGAAGAGAGTCCTAGAGACAAAGAAGAAGGCCATCTTTATCCTACCTTTTGTGTCTGTGGCCAGAGAGAAGATGTTCTATTTACAGGTACGCTGTTCCTGACATTCTATTTACAGGAACACTGTTAATAACATTCTATTTACAGGTATGCTGTTAATAACATTATTTTTACAGGTAGGTTATTTACAAAATCATCCTTATAAAGTAAGCTGTACTAAATATTGTATATACAGGTAGCTATGTAATCCTATATATATTTTCTGCTTTACATGTGGACTTAATATTGCAAAATGATTCATAGACAATTCATATTTATATGGAAGCATCCTCAGGTAGTGTAGATTCAAGTTTGTTCAAATCATGACCCCGGAAGTAAGGTGGGTCCACAATGGATGAACAAAATTAACAGAGGAATATATAGGAAAAAAAATCTTTTTCTTAAGAATAGAAAAGCCATGATTAGTCATATTGATATGGAGGCATCCTTGGGTAGTGTAGAATGAAATTTCTTCAAATGAGGGCTTCCAAGGGTAGGGTGGGGCCACAATGGGGGATCAAAGTTTTTCATAAGAGTATATAGAAAAAAACTTTAAAAATCCTCTTCTTAAGAACAGTAAAGCCATGATTGGTCATATTTATATGGAAGCATCCTCAAGTAGTGTAGATTCAAGTTTGTTCAAATCATGGGGCCACAATGGGTGATCAAAATTTACAGAGGAATATATGGGAAAATATCTTTAAAAATCTTTTTCTTAAGAACAACAAAACCATGATTGGTCATATTCATATGGAAGCATCCTTAGGTAGTGTAGATTCAAGTTTGTTTAAGTCATGACCCCCCCCCCCCCCCCCCCCCCCACGGGGATAGGATGGGGCCACAATGGGGGATCAAAGTTTTTCATAAGAGTATATAGAAAAAAACTTTAAAAATCTTAAACCCCCCATCCCCCATAAACTTTTCAATACTGAACTGATTTTTGCTTTTTTTTTTCTAGCCAATGTGCTTAGGTGAGCGATGTGGCCCATGGGTCTCTTGTTACATTTACATAATTATCATTTATTTCAACAAGATGAAAATAAAAGTTAGTTTATATTTTATTAATTCCTTGTAGTTGTATATATTTTGGAATTTACAGTAATTGCTATGTATGTTTATGTAGGTCTCTATCCTTAAAATTCTCTACCCAGTCTGAAATCATTTTAGTTTTTGATTACAGCAACTGTTCCAGGATGTGGGTGTGGTTGTGAGTGGGTATATGGGGAGTTACTCCCCTCCAGGAGGGTTCAGTCAGGTGGACATAGCGGTGTGTACCATAGAGAAGGGAAACGGACTGATAAACAGACTGATGGAAGAAAACAACATCAACAAGCTAGGTCTGTTATCATGTAATACAGCATCAACAAGCTAGGTCTGTTGTCATGTAATACAGCATCAACAAGCTAGGTCTGTTGTCATGTAAAACAACATGAACAAGCTAGGTCTTTTGTCATGTAAAACAGCATCAACAAGCTAGGTGTGTTGTCATGTAACACAACATCAAAAAGCTAGGTCTGTTGTCATGTAAAACAGCATCAACAAGCTAGGTCTGTTGTCATGTAATACAACATCAACAAGCTAGGTCTGTTGTCATGTAAAATCATCAACAAGTTAGGTCTGTTGTCAGGTAAAACAACATCAACAAGCTAGGTCTGATGTCATGTAATACAGCATCAACAAGTTAGGTCTGTTGTCATGTTAAACAACATGAACAAGCTAGGCCTGTTGTTATGTAAAACAGCATCAACAAGCTAGGTCTGTTGTCATGTAAAACAACATCAACAAGCTAGGTCTGATGTCATGTAAAACAACATCAACAAGCTAGGTCTGTTGTCATGTAAAACAACATCAACAAGCTAGGTCTGTTGTCATGTAATACAACATTAACAAGCTGTCTGTTGTCATGTAAAACATCATCAACAAGCTAGGTGTGTTGTCATAAAAGTTATGAAGACAAAATAACCTTGATTCATTTGATAAAGACAGTGTAACATGTCATACTAGTTCAAAATGTGATAAAAAGAATCTCCCATCTCTTATGGTTAGATATAACTTTTATCCAACCTGTGTCATCACCAAGGCTCAGGAATAAAAAAACTCACAACTTGTTGGATAAAAACCATATCCATCCATAGACCATGGGATGTTCTTAGTAGTTATATTCATAAATAAATACAGGAAAACCTCATTATCTTAAATGTGATGGGACTGAGAAAAAAACTTCAAGGTTTGTGAGGATTCAAGATATTGAGGGTAAAATGCTGAGGTAATGATAAGTGGTTTGGACTTCCAAATAACTTTGACACATCTCTGGTATTTGAGATATCAGTGTTTGAGATACCGAAAGTTCAACTTGATATGTTAATTAATCACTACATCTAGAATCAAAATTGTTTAGTGTAAACAAACTTTTCTCACCTGTCCAACAGGTATTATAGTGGTGGACGAGTTACACATTGTAGGAGACCAACACAGGGGCTACCTACTAGAGCTGATGCTTACCAAGATTCGATTCCTCAGTAAGAAAAAGCAGACAAAAACAACTGACACTGAGGATTCTGGGTAATGAACCGTGACTTTTTCTTTGTCAATTGTATACTATATGGCAGAAATGGAGTACTTATAAATTAACTTATTAAATGACACTTTTTTCAGTTTCAGTTTGTTTCAGATTTTAAATGCATTCCCTTTGAAGTTTTCTTTCTCTTTTAAGCTGTGCAGAAGGAGTCCAGATTGTAGGTATGAGTGCCACACTGCCCAACCTTGACCTTCTGGCTCACTGGCTGGACGCCACACTCTACCGCACAGACTACCGACCCGTTCCTCTCACGGAGTGTGTCAAACTGGGGACAGACATCTTTGATTCAAGTCTACAGAAAATCAGAGAGGTGGATCTAAGGGTGGTGTGTAAGGGGGATACTGATCACGTAATTCCGCTGTGCTTAGAAACATTGGCTGGGGGACATTCTGTGCTTATTTTCTGTCCAACAAAGAACTGGTGTGAGAAATTGGCAGAGACGATTGCCAGGGAGTTCTATGGCATTCTGAAGAAAGGTAAGGATTAGGGGAAAAGCATGTTTTCTTAATTTAATGTTGTTATGCACCCCTTTGAAAAAAGGAGGGCATATTGCTTTGCTGCTGTCTGTCAGTCGGTCTGTCTGTCCTCCAACAGTTTCTGTTCATTTTCTTCCCAGAGGTTGCACATACTGAAATGAAATTTGGTTGACAGAGTTTTTCCTCTTTGACTTATGAAAATTCCAATGTTCATTTTCTTTGCAGAGGTTGCGCATACTGAAATGAAATTTGGTATAGAGATTTATCATAAAAATATCTAGGTCAAGTTCTGTTTTGGGTATGATCAAGCAATTTTTGACAGAGTTATGCTCCTTGGACTTAGAAAAAAAATCCAATTATTTGGGGGGGGGGGGGGGATAAGTGTTTCACAAACATTTCTTGTTTGTTTGAGGGAAGGTATAGGTTTTTATATGGTTCGTAATGATTTATACCTGTTCTTATTGAAAATACATTAAAATTTTATTATAAGAAAGTCACTGGGATTGTGTTTCCTTATAACCAGGATTCTTTATATTCATATGAAACATTGTGAGAAGTCTTCTACTGGAAAATATAAGTAACATTGTGAGAAGTCTTCTACTGGAAAATATAAGTAACATTGTGAGAAGTCTTTTACTGGAAAATATAAGTAACATTATGAAAAGTCTTTTACTGGAAAATATAAGTAACACTGTGAGAAGTCTTCTACTGGAAAATATAAGTAACATTGTGAGAAGTCTTTTACTGGAAAATATAAGTAACATTGTGAAAAGTCTTTTACTGGAAAATATAAGTAACATTGTGAGAAGTCTTCTACTGGAAAATATAAGTAACATTGTGAAAAGTCTTCTACTGGAAAATATAAGTAACATTGTGAAAAGTCTTCTACTGCAAAATATAAGTTACATTGTGAGAAGTCTTTTACTGGAAAATATAGGTTACATTGTGAAAAGTCTTTTACTGGAAAATATAAGTAACATTGTGAGAATTCTTTTACTGGAAAATATAAGTAACATTGTGAGAAGTCTTTTACTGGAAAATATAAGTAACATTGTGAAAAGTCTTTTACTGGAAAATATAAGTAACATTGTGAGAAGTCTTCTACTGGAAAATATAAGTAACATTGTGAGAAGTCTTCTACTGGAAAATATAAGTAACATTGTGAGAAGTCTTCTACTGCAAAATATTGTGAGAAGTCTTTTACTGGAAAATATAAGTAACATTGTGAGAAGTCTTCTACTTGAAAATATAAGTAACATTGTGAGAAGTCTTTTACTTGAAAATATAAGTAACATTGTGAGAAGTCTTCTACTGGAAAATATAAGTAACATTGTGAAAAGTCTTCTACTGAAAATGTGAAAAGTCTTCTACTGGATCTTATAACCAAGATTTCCTTATAAGCAGTTATTTATAACCAGGTTTTACTGTATAGGAATCTTTGGGTTAAAAAGAACAGAACAATCCTCTCATTAAGAACTCTATTTTTAGCTCTACTGGTCAGAGACCAGAAGAGCTTATGCGATAGTAATGTGTCCGTCGTCCGTCCGTCTGTCTGTCTGTCTGTCTGTCTGTCCGTTCGTCTGTAAACAATTTTTCAAAATGCTACTCCTCCTACAGTTTTGGTCTGATTTCAGTATAACTTGGCACACAAGTAGACTACACTAAGATACATAATTCTGTGTATCGGTTTTTGATTTCAATGAACAGTGTTGCCATGTTACTAAAAATAGAAATTTCTGTGAAAAACATTCAAAATGCTACTCCTCTTACAGTTTTGGTCTGATTTCAATATAACTTGGCACACAAGTAGACTCCACTAAGATGCGTAATTCTGTATATCGGTTTTTGATTTCGATGAACGGTGTTGCCATGGTTACTAAAAATACAAATTTCTGTGAAAAACATTCAAAATGCTACACCTCCTACAGTTTTGGTCTGATTTCAATATAACTTGGCACACAAGTAGACTACACTAAGATACATAATTTAGTGCATGGGTTTTTGATTTCGATGAACGGTGTTGCCTTGGTTACTAAAAATACAAATTTCTGTGAAATTCTTTTAAAATGCTTCTTCTCCTACAGTTTTGGTCTGATTTCAATATAACTTGGCACAAAAGTAGACTAAACTATGATACATAATTTAGTGCATGGGTTTTTGATTTCGATGAACGGTGTTGCCATGGTTACTAAAAATACAAATTTCTGTGAAATTCTTTTAAAATGCTTCTTCTCCTACAGTTTTGGTCTGATTTCAATATAACTTGGCACAAAAGTAGACTACATTAAGATACATAATTTAGTGCATGGGTTTTTGATTTCGATGAACGGTGTTGCCATGGTTACTAAAAATACAAATTTCTGTGAAATTCCTTTAAAACGCTACTCCTCTTACAGTTTTGGTATGATTTTAATATATCTTGACACACAAGTAGACAGTACGATGATACATAATTTAGTGCATGGGTTTTTGATTTCGATGAACGGTGTTGCCATGGTTACTAAAAATAGAAATTTCTGTGAAATTACTTTAAAATGCTACTCCTCCTACAGTTTTAGTCTGCTTTTAATATAATTTGGCATACAAGAGCACTAATATACTAAGATACATAATTTAATGCATTGGTTTTTGATTTTGATGAACGGTGTTGCCATGGTTACTAAAAATAGAAATTTCTGTGAAATTCTTTTAAAACGCTACTCCTCCTACAGTTTTGGTCTGATTTCAATCTAATTTGGCACACAATTAGAATACACTATGATACATAATATGTATATCAGTTTTTGATTTCAGTGAATGGTGTTGTCATGGTTACTAAAAATATAAATTTCTGTGAAATACTTTCAAAACGCTACTCCTTCAACGATTTTCATTTGATTTCAATATAACTTAGCACAGAAGGAGACTACATTAAGATACATAATTCAATTTGCATGTTGCAAAGTTTCAAATTCAAGTGCTACTTTTCCTTTGTTATACGTACAGACCAGTAGAGCTACAGTCTCATCAGAGACTTCTGGTTATTAATTCTATCTTCCCTATGGTTTAAGTTCCTCCCATATATAAGTTTAACACCCCCTATAATTTTATTTATCATTGTTCTGCAAAAAATAACCATGTGATGATAGGTTGATTTGACCAGAGGTACCATCAATATGTTATCAGAGTTAAAAGTTTGATAAATTCTGTTTTACTTCGTCAGGTCCTGAGACAGATTGTTTGCCACCTTTACCCCTGAACAGATCCTCCCTGATGGAGGTCGTAGAACAACTGAGGAGAACTCCAGTGGGGTTAGATTCTACCCTGGGGAAGACAGTGCCATATGGGGTGGCATATCACCATGCAGGTATTATGATTGTCATTTGTTGCATATTTGTGGTGTCAGAATGCATCCATCAAGAGTTTCAAAAAGGTTACTAAAATTTTTAAGAATTTTGGTTTTTATTGTATTTGATCTTCATTATATATGGAAGCTGGTAGGTGCATGATAGAAAATATTTTATCTAACGTCCGCCAAATAATTATCTGGCGGCCCCCACATAAATAACTGGCAGCCACCAGATAAAAAGATCTGGCGGCCACTAGAAAATTATTTGGCGGCCGCCAGATAAAATATTTTTTCTACCTGGCACCTACCTACTTCCTTAACAGGCCTCTATGTGACCTCTAAAATTTAGGCGCCAACGGGCTCCTTATCCAAAAAATTTAGTCATCAATGCAAATTTTTTGTCGCCAGGCAAATTTTTCTTAGGCGCCAATTTAAAAACTGATATTAGTCAACATATAGAGACATGTCCATTGCTAACTTTTAAACTTCTTTTCTGCTCTTTATAAAAAAATATTTAAAAATGTTTATAGTTCAGTAATTTGATGATCACCAAGTCAATTTGAAATGGTCGCCAATTTAGCGACTTATAGAAAAATTTTAGGCGCCAATCATAATTTTTAGACACCATGGTGACTAAATTAGTCCCCAATTAGAGCCCTGTGTAATTATACAATTAAACAATTAAACATGCAAATAATATTTAATATGTGATAAGAAGGTCTTTGTGTGTTTACATGAAAATACATTCCTCAAAAAACCTGATTTACAGTGTTTCCTGTTCCAGGGGCCTGTACTATTATACTACTCAAAAAGTGTACCAGTATAAGTATTTTGATAAAGATTTTACTGTTAAATCATTATATTCCAGATCCATCATTGACAGATATTTCTGACTTCATCTTGCAGGTTTGACCTTTGATGAGAGAGATACTTTAGAGGGCGCCTTCAGACAGGGATCAGTTAAGGTCCTCATTGCTACGTCCACCCTGTCCTCAGGGGTCAATCTTCCTGCCAGGCGTGTTATCATCAGAACCCCAATCTTCCATGGCAAAACCATAGACTTCCTGACTTACAAGCAGATGATTGGTCGAGCTGGAAGAAAGGGTGTTGATACTGAGGGTCAGTGAATTTACTAGTATTACATAATCTTTTTAAAATTTCGACCGCTCCAGAACAACTCGGCCAATTTTAAGTTAACCAAACTTACCCCATAGCATCCTTATTTGATGGAGATTAATTTTTGTTTAAAGGAAGATGATGGAAAAATGATAAAAATCAAGTGTGATGCTTTAGAATTCTTCTAAAGAAAATCTGTCTACACACTTGAACATCCAACTCACTTTAATTTCATATTAAATTTAATACATTGTCTAAACAGCCAACTCATATAATCTTATTTTTCTTTAGAGTTTTGAAATTGACAAAGGTTATACATGCCATTGTATCATGTTCAACTGAAATTGGAAGTCATCGCCGCCAGTATATTACACTTTGTCAAATTTTAATTCTCTGACAGATCAAGACACATGGAGGCCCTATATATTATTATACAGAGTATAAATTTACTGTAAAAATAATTACATGTATAGTAAAACAACACAGTTTATTCCATTACACAATGTATTTCCAATGAAAATGTTTTACAAAATGTTTATGTCATGATCACTTCACTTGGTGATGGTTAAAACAAACATGGATATACTATTCACTTCACTGTGTGGTTATGGTGGATATTTTACATGTATTTGATTTTCTTCACTCTACCCCTGAGACGCTCAGTCACAAAGAGGTTGTCTCTGGTGTCTACACATAAACCAAATGGATAGTATAGATCACAGTTATCAATGTAACGGAGGAACTGTCCATCCTGATCTAGGATGTGGATACAGTAGTTGTTACAGTCTGCTGTCAGGATCTGACTCTGGCTGTCTGTTGTGATGCCGGCTGGAACAAATGATCTCTTGTTAGTAGAGGGAGGACCAGTGTATCTAAATCGGAGTCTTCCTGCCTGATTAACTACCACTACTGCTTTGGCTCCATGGTCAGCCACACAGATATCCAGGTTCCTGTTCTCACTGATGTATTTAAGGCCTTCAGATGAATACAGAGGTTTACCTTCACTGTCAAACTGAATGGTTTGTTTCTCTGTGGAGCCAGAGTAACGGACAACTTTCAATTGTTTATCATCATCACTGACCATGATAACAAGGAGGTCACCAGAGGAGGTACTACAGACATAGTAAGGTTTCCACCCCTGTAGTCTGATCACTTCCTGTATCTGTTTATTCTTCACTATGTTTACAGTTCTTGTATCAGGGTCAGTATAAACTAGATCTCCAATCCTTGTTACTGTTATGTCACATGACCAGTTCCCTGACTTGGTTTGGATTGACTTCAGTAGTTTGCCCTGGAGGTTGTAGAGTTTCATGATTTTGTCTAATCCACATGTCCAGATTTCTTCATCACTGAGACAGGTAACACTGTATATAGTATACCCAGTGTGTATGGTGGTGATGAGCTCTGGTTCATCAAGCAGTGGTTTTACTGGTGAACAGGATACAGCTTCTGGTGTCTTCATTGTGTAGCCATGTTCATCTGTCGTAATGGATAATGCTGACAGAGAACCAAACATTTGATGGAGCTGTTCTGTGTTGATCTGATGAGGAGAGAAACTTGGTAATGTAACATTGACTTTAGGAGGTAAATTTCTGAATTCAGCATTCCTGGATTTGTATGCAGAGGTTAGGGAGACATCATTGGAGTCTAGTATTTTCTTCAGATCAAGTATGCTATGTTTTACATCAGAAGTAATCTGTTTAATATCTATTTCCTGTTTATTTAAAGCAGCCAGGTGTTTAGTTTTCATCTCATCAATTTCAGATTTCTGTTTGTTGACAATGATGTCAATTTCTCTGTGCCAGTCTTCTCCTTGTTTGGTGACAGCTGTTGTCAGTTTCTTGTAATGTTTTTCCAAGTTAACTTTTTCAGATTTTAAATCTAATGTAATTTCTTCATATGTTGGATAAATTCTTTCTTCTAGTTCTTTCAAGTCTTTCTCTAAGTCTTTTGTTTTAGAAGTTAGTTTTTGCAGAGCATCAGATAAATCATGTCCTTTATGTTTCCCAGAGGAGATGCAGGTAGAACAGACAGGAATGTCACATTTCTCACAGTAAAGTTCACAATGTTTCTGGATGTGATTTGGACATTTTGGGTAGTTAGGAGTAGAAGTTCTGTGTTTGTATGGTACAACATTGTGTCTTTTGGATGAATCAGAGAGATGTTTTCCGACACAGACAATACAAAGGTTTACATGACAAAGTTCACAATGGCTCTGTAATGCAGCTGTTTGACACAGGTCACAGAGGAGGATGTCTTGGGCACTATAACGGGGGTCCATTATAGTTGTCTCTGTCACATGATGAAGGGGATACTGTAATATTGTGTATTAGTTATTATACTTTATAAAGAGAGTATGAAGGACACAGATATTTCAATAAGCTCAAAATAGAAAAGGGAAAAATTTGTTCAATTTATTGAAAGGAAGAGATACATGATTACAAACAGAAAACACTCAGCACTTCAAGACATTTATAAATTATCAGAAATATTATAAGAATGAACATCATATCAATCTTTAAACTTTAAAGAGAAAAAAGTTATTGAATAACACGTCAAGTCCAAGAAGCATGAAATCGTTATTATAATATCTCACCTGTCATTTCAATATGGCTTCCTAGGTAGTGTATAGAGACTAACAATCAACTTCCTGGTATTGGTTCTAGATTTTGACCTAATTTCAGGTCACATGATTTAAATACCCTGTATACCTGCATTTATTGAAGGTTTTGATATCAGCTCGACATAGTTACCTTCTAAATGTAATAAACAATAGTTTTAATTTTAAGTTATGATATCCTAATCTAGCTATTTTTATAGTTTAGTAGGAATAGGAAATTGAGATTTTCTTAAATGCAATCAATTTTACTGTTATCTTCATGACAAACAGAAATAGGAAATTGAGATTTTACTTAATGCAAGAATTTCAATTGTGTACAAATATTTCATGTGATTACCTACATACACACTACAATTTCAACTGAAAAAAATTAAATCTTTTCACATATTTCTCATTTTTAATTTTCAGGAATGTTGTCTCTGAAACAATCAATTTTCACAGCTTATGATTTATTTTCAAATCTTTAAAATCTTATGTTTATGTGATGTTAGGCTAAGCTTAAGTGATTTTAATTCTAGGTACCATCATATATTCTATATAACGTGTTTGTTGAAGGAAAAAATTAATCCTGATAATAAGTGATTTATTAATTATATTTGTAGGTGAGAGTATCCTGATCTGTAAGCCTAGTGAGAGAAGTAAAGCCGTGACCTTAGTACAGTCTGAACTGCCACCTGTCAGGAGTTGTCTGATCAAAAACCAAGGGGAACAACTCAGTTCTAGCATGAAAAGAGCCATACTAGAGGTTTGTTATGTAATCTACCATCAATTCTAGGTTGAACAGTTTTAAGAAATTAATTTTTTTTTTATATGCTGTCTTTTGAAGGGCCTTATTATCATGATTATGGTATATGTGTTTTCACATCAATCTGTCCAGTGGAGAGTCTGTTGCCTTGTTTTGTCCAACTCATATCTTTTATACTGTAAGGTCCAGGACCGTCAATCAATGTCAGTTGATACATCCTAAAAAAAGGGGGGGGATTCACAATTTAATACATAGTTCATAATGAGGTCAGTCATTTGGCTATATATGGTTAAAATGAGGTTTCAATCACATTTTGAAAATTGTTAAGGTCTAGAAACATCAAACCTTCTCAGTGGTGAGTCGATACATCTGGGTAGTAAGGTGATTAGATATGGATCACGGAATTCCAGATGGCTGAATCATGTAACATAGTGGTTCACTTTAATATTAAGAGTTATTATATCCCCCCTTCCCCCTCCAAAGGAGAGGGGGTATACTGTTTTACCCTTGTGTGTCTGTCTGTCTAGCTGCATGTATGTGTGTCTGTCCATAACAAATTGTCGTCGCAGTTTTCTCAGCAACTACTCATTGCAGATTCATGAAATTTTAGCACACTCTTTGTGTAGGATCCTGTATGGTGGGATTCATGAGAGCGTATATTTACATAAGAGCGGGGATATTACTATTGAGTATTGGCTCAAAGACTTCTTCTTGTCTCTGTAATTTTCCAAACTCCAGATTTTATTAGGGGGAGTGGGTTGTTAGGGTCCATTAATGGGGGGGGGGGCTTTAGTAAAAATTTACCTTCAGAAAAAAACAGTACAACCCCAACCCTTACCCCCACCTCCACCCCTGATTCTATGTGTCTCAATGTTTTGTTCACTTGATTGGAAGTAGGGTGCAAGTTAAATAACTTTTCAAAATTATTTGTTTGAATTTGGAAAAAAAATAATTCCTTAAGGAATTACGTTCACCTGGAAGGTCACTTGCAGGTAAACATACCTAGTATTTTTATCTCACTTGAGCTAAAAGCTCAAGTGAGCTTTTCTGATCACCTGGCGTCCATCTGTCTGTCTAGCTGTCTGTCAGTCTGTAAACTTTTCACATTTTCAACTTCTTCTCAAGAACCACTGGGCCAATTTTAACCAAAGTTGATACAAAGAATCCCTGGGTGAAGGGGATTCTAAATTGTTAAAATGAAGTGTCAGGCCCCCTTCCAAGGGGAGATAATCAAGAAAAGGCAAAATTAGGATGGAGTAATTAAAATTTCTTCTTCTCAAGAACCACTTAACCATAAAAGCTGAAACTAATGCAGAAGCATCCTGAGGTAGTGTAGATTCTAAATTGTTCAAATCTTGACCCCCGAGGATAGGGTTGAACCACAATAGAGAATCAAAATTTTACATCGAAATACATGTATATAGGAAAAATCTTTAAAAATCTTGCTTTTCAAGAACTACTGGGCCAGGAAAACTGAAACTTTTTCAGAAGCATTCTGAGGTAGTGAAGATTCTTAATTGTTTAAATCATGGCCCCTGGGGATAGGGTGGGGCCATAATAGGGAATAAAAGTTTTACATTGAAATATATAGGAAAAATCTTTAAAAATCTTCTCAAAAACCACTAGACCAGAAAAGGTGAAAGTTATGTAGATGTTTCCTGAAAGAGTGTAGATTCTAAATTGTTCAAATCATGACCCCTGGGGGGTAGGGTGGGGCCACAATAAGTAATAGAAGGGGGAAAATCTGGTGAAGAATAGCAGGTCCAAAGTTATTCAGGTGAGTGTTGTCGTCCATGGCCTCGTTTCTCTCAGCCAATCAGAGAGCTAGGAATTATTAAAAATTATTAAATCACAAAAAAAATAAATTATATTTCTGTATTATACATTATTTTGTGTGTTATACAGATTGTTGTCAGTGGTGTGGCGGTGTCGGTGTCAGATGTGGCGGCTTATGCCTCCTGTACTATGTTAGCAGCGTCCCTGGAGTCCAACTCTGACCAGACACAGGACATGATTGCTGCTTGTATACAGTTCCTTCAGGATAATGAGTTTGTGTCTCTTCAGAAATCTCATACAGAAGGTAAGGCATAGCAAAGTTATTCTCTTCATCAGACAACAAACATCTTGCTCCTCAAACATTTTAGTTAGTGCTTTTAAATGTGAAGCTGTTTTTCCTTTTCTTATTCTTATTTCTCTTGATTTATGAAAAGTCTTACTTTTACTAGTCCATTAAAATATGATTGAATGATTCCATCTCTTTGATTAGCTGAAATATGATAAAACATGTTTTTCTGAGTCAATTAATACCCATCAAAGTCAATATTCACCTTACTTTATTAACTGGGTAAATATTGTACTCCTTGGGTAGTCTAATTAGTATATTGACCTGTTAGAAGCAGTCATTGTTTAGAAGTAACTGGAATTTCATCCATGGGCGATTCATTAATAAAAGCAAGATTTTGTGGCTATATCTGTTTGTGTCATCTGCAGAGCAGAGCGGCACTAAGGGATCACTTTACCCGGCTTCTGTCTGTCTGTCCATCTGTCACACCCTATATTTCAAGAACTGTAACAGGTATGGATTTGATTTTTTGCACATATAATGCTTGGCACCATAGCTTTTGTAAATTACCATGACCTTTGACCTTGACCTTTGACCTACTTTTAAAAATATTTTATAGTACCAATATACAGCATATTTTTGACATTTATTCCTTAAATATATGCTATTTAGCATGTGCACTGTTTGTCATATGAGACAATATGAAAAATACCAGCATTACAATCCACTTGACCTAGTCTTTTGACCTACTTTGCAAAAAATATCTCGGGCAGTTTAATTAAACTTGTGACATTTGAAACAGTGTTTAGATATTAGCATTTATAAAATTAATGTTCATGAGCTCATGATAGTGTACTTTGAAACTGTATGATATTCAGTTACCAGACAAACTTATATTTAAATCAGTGAAAATACATCAGGATTGGTATTCCACAATGTAGACTGAGAATTGCAGTAAAGATAGACTGAAATCTCTTTTGAATGATTATTGGAAACACGTGTAGCTCATGAAAAAGTACTTTGAAACTGTATGCTATTCAGTTACCACACAAACTTAGTATATTTAAATACCATAAAAATGCATTGGGATCGGTATTCAACAATGGATTGTGTAGACTGACAATTGCAGTAAAGACAGACTGTAAGCTCTTTTGGAGGATTATTGGAAACATGTATTAATAAAATTACAAATAGTTATTTCTAATAATTTGAATTTAATTGTTCATTTTAGGATTTTGGTACCTTTTTTTTTTTTTTGGATTGTCCGATTCTATCACAGTCTAATTATACTATCCATGGATGACATTTTTTCTTTGCAGGAAATGCATGAAATATCAGTCTATCATGCTTATAGTATATAAAAAGCTGACCACTCTAAGATTTATTTACACCTTTAATGAAGCTACAAAGCAAGCGACATATGAGTTCCTTGGAACACTCTTAGTTTATATTAGGTGATCCTTGTAATTGCTTTGTTTAATAGCTGTTTATCACTTCTGATAAATCGTTTGTTATAGATGGTACGACCGTGACAACGGAGGAACAGTTTGTTCCCACTCAGCTCGGTGCAGCTGTACTAGCTTCAAGTCTGTCTCCAGATGAGGGTCTAACTGTGTTTGCTGAACTACAGAAAGCTCGACAGTGTTTTGTTCTGGAGAATGAACTCCATATTGTCTATCTAGTGAGTAATGTGTGAGATAGTGTTTTGTTCTCGAGAATGAACTACATATAGTCTATCTAGTGAGTAATATGTGTCAGGTAGTGTTTCGTTCTGGAGAATGAACTACATATAGTCTATCTAGTGAGTAATGTGTTAGACAATGTTTTGTTCTCGAGAATGAACTACATATACTCTATCTAGTGAGTAATGTGTGAGATAGTGTTTTCTTCTAGAGAATGAACTACATATAGTCTATCTAGTGAGTAATGTGTCAGGTAGTGTTTTGTTCTGGAGAATGAACTCCATATAGTCTATCTAGTAAGTTATGTTTGATAGTCACTCAGTGTTTGTCATGGGAGAAAACTTTTTTGAACAGAACAGACTTTTCTTATCAATTTACTTATGGGCCATTCCCTCAATTCCAGATTTAGCCTGTAACTTTATAGCAGGTCATAAATATGAATTATATTGGTAATGAAAGGAAGTATGAATAAAGGGATTATCAGTTTTGAAAAATCCCATTTTTTATGAAAGTAATTCAATTGATGTAAATGCCATTAAAATGTCCAGCAAATACGCACAGTACAACTCTGTTATAAAGAATTCATGAAGTTTTAAGGAAACTTTTATAAATCTTCTAGAAATATTTTCAATATACATAATTATATATATTCTAATATGGATACAAAGAATCTCTTATAAAGAAGCAGAAGTTGAAGTCCCAGTGCCTTCCTTGTAGCCAAGTTTTACTGAAACTTCATATTATTAGTATTATATAGGTGTCTGGTCTTCCAGAAGCTTTTTAAACCTATGTTCCAATGTTGTAGGTGACTCCCATTTACTCCCTAGACTTGGGGGCTAACATGGACTGGTACAAGTTTTATTGCTTGTGGGACAAACTTTCCCCGGACAAGAAGAGAGTGGCCCAACTGGTAGGGGTCAGCGAGGCATTCCTCACCAGGGCCATCCAGGGGAGGATACCAACTAAAACAGAGAACCAGATAAGAAGTTTGGCCATACACAAGAGGTCAGTTTGTATAAGACACTCAAATTTATTACTCAGTAATTTAATATACTATTAAACCCACTAACAATGAACTCTGATATAATGAATACTTGGTTATAAGAAAGGTATGTCTTTTTTCCATCCCTAATATAACACTCTCTAGTAAGAATTTGAAGAAATATGATAAATAGAAACCAGAAGTTCATGTTCCAATAACATTTTTATAAGCAAGTTTTGCTGTACATGTATTAATAACCTTCTCAGAGAACACAACTGGGGTAACTTATTGTCTAGAGATGCAGTATGTAGTACATATACACACAGAATTTTAACATGGACTTATCTATGTGCATAATGTTTCACCTACTGAAAGAGAACTGTTCATAGTTGAAGGGTACCATTTATACATGTAGTTTGTGCATGAATAGAACAAAGAAATTTAACAGGATTTTATTTGTGTGTACTAGGTTTTACACCTGCCTGATACTGAGTGACCTTGTACAGGAAGTTCCCCTGGGTGAGGTCTGTCATCGCTACAGCTGTAACAAAGGTCAGCTCCAGTCCCTTCAGCAGACAGCTGCCACTTTTGCAGGTACAGAAAGATATAGGTTCTGATATAAATGGTCTTGCACTAATCTCTGGCGTTTTTCACCTATATTTTAAAAGCAACCTTTTCATCTATTTCTGGAAGCATATTTCATTGAAATCTTAAAATGGCATGTATTAGGAAAATATTGTTAAGTTTGTGACAACAGGATAATTCTTTTTTTAAGAAATTGCCTCTTTAGTTTATGCTGTGATTTTAGATTATGAAACCCACCCAAATCAAAAATTAAATTCGTTATTAAATTACGTGTATTTATGATTTGAAAATTGTTTCTGCTGTAGGAATGGTGACAGTGTTTTGTGGCAGGCTGGGTTGGTATAACTTAGAGTTGATCCTTGGTCAGTTCCAGCATCGCTTGACCTTTGGAATCCAGAGAGAGCTATGTGACCTTGTCAGACTGACCTTGCTGAATGGACAGCGGGCCAGAGTCCTGTATGATGGTGGGTTCCACACTGTGGCAGCTCTAGCTAATGCCTGTGTCACTGATGTAGAACAAATCTTCAAGAAATCTTCACCCTTTCAAAGGTAGACACAGAATTATTTATCAGTAATCATACTTCTGAATTAGTTATCCCCCATGTATAATTGTTACAAAGTTGGAGTGGATGGGTTATAACGTAAGTTATAATTTACACCGTGATTGATGTGCTCTTTTGTGAGGGGATGCTCTGCTTTGGGGTGCCTTTGTTTTATCTTTAACACTGTTATAACAAATAGAAATAAAGTTTGGAGGATCAAAGAAATTAGCTTAGTTTTCTAGCTTTACTTAGCCAAAGGTTGGAGTTGTTTCTGATTTTATCCATTGTTTTCTTTGTTGATGTCAATGATAACATTTGCATCTTCATCTCCAGAATTACTTGACCATTTTCAATCAAACTTGGTGCAAAGTATGTTTCAATGAAAAAAAAAAAATCAAGTTTGCAGAAAGTAAGGGCAATGTGCATGCAGCCCCCTTCAATGGGAGATAATTATTGGATGGATAAAGAATTATTATCTTTAATTTTTTTTTTCAAGAAAAGGAGGTCCACAATAAGTCATTGATGTGCAAGCATTTCTTATTATGGCACCCTTAAAGAAGGGATGGCATATTGCTTTGCTGCTGTCTGTCGGTTGGTCTGTCTGTCAGTCCTCCAACAGTTTCTGTTCATTTTCATCCCAGAGGTTGCACATACTGAAATGAAATATGGTTGACAGAGTTATTCCCCATGGACTTATGAAAATTCCAATGTTCATTTACTTTGCAGAGGTAGCACATACTGAAATGAAATCTAGTATACAGATTTATCATAAGAATACTTAGGTCAAGTTCTGTTTTGGGTACAATCGAGCAATTTCTGACAGAGTTATGCCCCTTGGACTTAGAAAAAATTGTCCGGAAGGGAGGGCATAAGTGTTTCACAAACATCTCTTGTTTCAAATCTTGTCCTCCATTTCAGGGTCTATATAAATATTGAGTTAAACTTTAATTCCGAGCTCATAGAGACAATATTCAAGTGATTTTAATTTTAATTTCCAGCTCCAAGAGACAGGACAATGAGACAGACTGGGAGGCAGCAAAGAGACAAGAGAGTCGCTGTATCTGGTTAACGGGGCGTAAAGGTGCAACAGAGCATGAAGCAGCAGAGGCCATTATAGAGGAAGCCAAATCTGTAATCCAACAGGAGCTAGGGGGACTGGGAATCCGGTGGAGAAATCCAGAATCCAGGGACATCCAGAAAGGGGGGTCAAATCTTGATCAGAGTAAAATGGAATGTCAAGATGACAAGAGGATTCAGGGTTTAAATCAAGATCATGGTGGTGTGACCTTGGTAAAACCCAAGGGAAGGAGGTCAGTGGGGAAAAGAAAATCAGTGGGAAAGAGAAGTCCTGGATTATCTAAATCTGGGATTTCAAATGGAGATGACTCCAGAGTAATGGAGAAGTCTGTTCTGGTCAGCCCACCTGGCATCAGAATACAGGGGAACACACAAGGACACATGAACAAAACCATCACATCTGATAGTAGGGGGAGCATAAATGATGGAGTAAAAGGAGGAAAAGAAAATTTTGTCAAACCTTCCACAAGACTTACAACCACAGCAGAAGTTCACCATGTTCCACCAAAAGCAGTAGGAGAAAAAGAGATCTCCACAGATAAAAACTATTCTGGTCCTCAGATACAGGGTTCTAAGTCTTGTGATGCAACAGATAAAGAAATGCTGCTGGTTGAAGTTAAGAGACAACAAATCTTCAAACAAAAGGAAACATCATCTGCCATGACGTCTCAAATTTCTTCAGACACAATGGAGGAAATACCAGGATTTGTTCACCCACTAGTCCTAAGGAATACAACTGCCTCCTGTTTAAGTGCACCCAGAAGTCTTCCTTCCTACACTACCAGAAATCCCTCTCCATGTTTAGTTACTTCATCTTCAGTTGTTACTTCTACTATCACTGTTACAAATTCAGGATTGTCATCTGGTTTAGCAAAAACAGCACACAATGTAAATCACAAAATAGACAACAAGCAAATTTCTGGGGGAAATGAAGTAGTCTATCAACTTTCACAAGTGAAAAATGCAAAGAAAAATAATGAACAAACTTCAACCATGATACAGGGTTCTGAATTTAAAAATCCTCTAGAGAAGAGAAATCCAATGAATCATTTATCAATGGAGACTGTCAAAATTGTACATCTTGGAAACAGTTCCAGAGAAGGGGATGATATAAATTCAGACAAAAATCCTAAAGAAAACAAAGAAGAGAGAGATATAGATGATATGTTTTGTTCAGGGGACTTTACAGATAGTTTTGTTTTTGAATCTCAGATGGATGTCAGTCAAGTAGGTTTCCCGGGATTAGCTTCTGTGAGAAAATCTCCAAAATCCAAGGAGGATAACTCCTTTCAGGAACCATTGCCCAATACAAATGATGAAAAAACTGGGTCAGATGTAGCAAAAGCAGATATTTGTCCCATTAATGAAGTAGATAGACCATATTCTGTAGAGAATAATTTAGATAAATGTATGCAAGGAAAAGATATTTCAGAAATTGGAATTTGTGCTCAGTCATCTATGTATTCTACAGAGGAAAAGAACAGCAAGGATAGTGACATAAAGGACAAAGGTGCTAACTGTTTGATACCTGTGTCTAGTAAAACTGCAGATGGTAGACAAAGTAAGAAAAATGTCAATAGTGAAAAAAGAATTGAAGATAATGCCGTAAGTGATTTAAATGATAAGTGTGATAAAGATTTGAATCTTAGCAGCAGTCTGCTGTTGTCACATGACATGTCATGTGACCTCTTACCAGCCAGTAACTTTGAGAGGTGTGTGATGTCAGATGATGAATCGGATGTTAGTAAAAATGAGTCGTACAGGGACCTCAGAATTCCTTTTCTTAGTGGACAGGAGGCATGTTTCCATGGCAGTGATAGAAAAGAAAATGGTCCAACTCAGGTAGGCTACAGCCAGTTGTCACAGGATTTGAGGCTGGCACTGGAACTCAGTGATACTTTTAATGAGGACCCTGATGGAACACAAAATAAAAAGTCCTCGGAAGTGGGCATTCCGTCAAAGAGCAGTAAAACAAATAGGGGTTTTAAAAATTGTGAAGTGAAAACATCTCAACAAAAAATTGGAGGGAAAGAGACAAGTGATAATACAGAAGAAATGAGTGACTCATTAACTTTTTCCATGGTTAATGAAGTGTTAGAAAAGAGTGATATGGGGCAGTGCAATAATAAATCAAATGTAAAATTGAGTGATTCAAAATATACTAAATTAAAAAATAAAGGGACATCACAAGTTAAAGACAAGAAGCTAAGTCCGGGAACATTGGCATTCCTGGATGACCTTCACACCAGTATAGACACTGACACTGATACATTAGTGGGAAAATCACCTTCATCCAAAAAGGACATTTCTCAGAAACCTAAATATGCAAAAACGAAAGAGAAAACAAGTATCAAAGAAAAACCTGATGGTAGAAAATCTAAAAGGAAAAGTCTAGAGAAGGCTGAAGGAGGTAAAGTTAAAAAACCTAAAGAGGATAAAACCAGAACTAATGAGTGTATGTCTCCCACTCCTCCAAGACCAGGTCTGCTAAACTCTCCAAGGACAATTAGAAAGACAACACCCAATAATCTGAGGTCTAAGAATCAAAGCCCAAGAAATGGAAGGGTCAGAAAATGTATTGACACCACTGGAGCTTCAAAGAAAGATGAAAATATGGTAGTGGATAATTGTTCAAAGAACAAAGGGAAATTACAAATGATTATAAACAGTGAAAATAGGTTGGAAAATGCACCTGAAGATGGTGAAGTGCCTTATGAAGAGAGGGGGCCTATAGTGGACCCTAATGAGACAGGACTCCCTCCTTCTCAGGGGACCTTCACTATTATAGATGTGTGTGCTGATCATAGGTTATTTGAGACATTCCTTGCTGAATGGAGGACACAGTCCTTGTTCTCTTTATCCGTGGCCTGTAGGACCAAGCCTTCCTCCTCAGTGTCCTCCTCTGCTAGAGGACAAATAGGAGCCAAATTTTCCGAAGGAGGAACGACAGACAAAAGTAACAAAGGTATGCAAATATAGGCAAGTTGACATTTTCTTTCAAAATAATTAAAAATTTTTGTTGTTATTTTGTTCCTTTAGTCTTGTTTTGTTTGTTTCCTTTTTGTTTTTGCATTTTTTAAGAGTATTTTTAATCCTGAATTTACTTTTCTTTGCGAACTTGCCTACTACTTCTTGTGGTCATGAGTTTATTCCTTTAAAGATAGTTGAAACTGCTTCTAAACCTCATCACATTCTTCAAAGAATGAAGTTTTTGTGAACATGTCTATTCCTAAATAACATTGAATATATTTGCAAGGATGATACATTTTGGGTTGGATAGTTCTAGGCATGATCTACATTCTTATCCTGAGCAACAAGTACCTGCTCTGATTGGATTTCATTCAGTAGGTTCATAACAATAATATGACCCATGTAGTTGTTTCCAAATGAAATTATATTTATGGTAAAAATTGATTCTTTTTTATTAGAATCTTTGGATCTTTCTTTATGCAGAAAGAAATAAACACGTGTATTATTAAAATTCAATGTTACAGACCCAGAACCTGGAGTAGTCTCCCTTGGATTACCTGTTATGGGAACTGACCTGTTAGTTACAGGTGTGTCAGTCAGCTGGGAAGACAGAGATGCTTATTTCATTTCCTTGACCCCAGGGAATGCAGAGGGTATGCAAGTTTGTTGACTTAATTAATATGAAGGGATGTAACATGTATAAAGAAAAATTTGGAGTATAAATAACTATTCATGATTATAGAGAAGACTTCTTTTTTAAATAGTCGCCCGTGTGGCGCAGTGGTTAGAGCGTCTGCTCTAGAGTCGCGAAGTAAGGAGTTGATCCTTACGTTGCGGGTTCAAATTACACTGTGGGACATGGAGACCGGTACTTCAGATGAGACTGTATAAACTGAGGTCCCGTGTCGCAGTGGGTGCTGGCACAAAAAAGATCCCTCACTGCTCAGTGGCCGTAAGTGCCAAGTATAGGACAAAATTTGCAGCTTTCCACCGGCAAGTGGTGGCGTCTCCATATGAGTGAAAAATTCTCAAGAGGGACGTTAAACAAAATACAGTCAATCAATCTTCTTTAAATTGATTAATTATTGTGCATGAGTTTTAAACAGTGTATGCAAATACATATATATATATATACAGGTTATAAAGTTAAATGTTTACATGATTTTCTTCAGATGAAGATGACCTTGACCTCTCACCCCCTGACCTTGATAAATCTCTCTCAGTGTCAGCTCGTGTTGCAGCCATTAAACAGTCACTGGAAGAACACAACAACTATACGGTGTTAGCTATGGATGCCAAGTCCTGCTATGGGACACTAGAGAGAGGTTGTGGTATATGTTGCCAGGGAAAGTTTCAGGACCCGAAAGTAGCCAGTTGGATAATGGACCCAGGAGCTAAGGAGAAGAATCTTCATCGCATGGTTCATGATTATCTCCCTTTAGAAGCAATTCTCCTAGAAGGTTAATTATAGAAATTTTAATAGCATTTGGTTAAGTGTTGGTATTTAAGAATAATAGGTGAATTGCTGTATCTATATTTCTTTGAAGGTATCGGTGGTGGAGTGGGCTATGGGAGCCTAGGAATGTCCCCCGAGAACCCTGGGACGGGTCGACTTCGGGCCTGTACTGAGGCAGTCCTACTGACCCACTTAATGCAGTATCTCACACTCTGTCTGGCCAAAGAGAACCTGATGACTGCCTTCCAGGACATTGAGATGCCATCTGTTATTACTCTGTCTCGTATGGAGATGAATGGATTTGGTAAGGACTTTGTCATGTTTATAGAGTCGTTAATATGTATTTCATAAAGGAAAGACAGCGATTCTATATACATTCACAAAAACAAGCATCTTTTTGATGAGGATTTATTGTTGATTTAAAGATCATTAATATTGTTCAACTAGAAGCTCAGATTTTTTGAGACTAATCAGCTTCTTCATTGTGAATTGGGTAAATGATTAAATTTTTTAGTAGTCAACTCTAAAACAAAATATATTTAATACAAATACAGGTTTTAATAGTGAAGAGTGTGAGAGACAGAAGACAGTTATGATAGAAAGACTAGGTGAACTTGAAGCTGAGGCATACCAGCTAGTGGGGCACCAGTTTTCTCTGACCTCAACAGAAGATCTGTCCCAGGTTAGAAACAATCTGTAACCTTTCCAATGTCAATCCTGATCAGGGTCATCACATAGTTTTAGGTACAACAGGCATATATTGTATAAGGATTCTTATATGGTAGTATTCATCTGAGTTAGATTAACATATATCCTTTTGACAGGTGCTATTTATAGAACTCCAGCTACCTGTTAATGGTGACCCCAGCAGTCTGGGACAGCCTACCAAACCTAACAGATGGGCTCCCACAGGTCGTAGAGGCCGCCAGAAGACCCAGTTTTCTACCAGTAAAGACGTCCTGGAGAAACTCCGACCCTACCACCCTCTCCCTGGGATCCTTCTTGAGTGGCGTCGTATCAGCGGTGCCCTGACCAAGGTGGTGTTTGCCTTGCAGAAGGAGAAGTTGTATGTGGAAAGATTAAAGATGTACAGGATATTTACAGATGTCCAGTACTTCTCAGCCACAGGAAGGGTCAGTCTATCTGAACCTAACCTACAGAACGTTCCAAAAGATTTCCAGATCTCTAACTCAGGTGTGTGTTTGAAATTGAATGTGTCATTTTTCTCTGTAGTACAGAAGTCAGAAATTAGATTTGGGGATGGAGTCTTGCAGTGATACAAGGATTTGATTGTAGCAGCAGAAAAGGTGCTTAAGGACCCACTATACACTAAAGGAAAAGATTTTTTGGACAGTGAGAAACTTATAGGGTGTAAAGGTGTCAATATTGAGCTTATCTATTACATGTTCAACATAGGGTACCTTGCATTTACCCCAAGGAAAAATGTTCAAGTACAATGAAGTACTGATGAACAGAAATCACTGTTGTTTACTTAAGTGGACAAAATACCTGCAAATGAAGTGTTCAATGTATTCATCTTGACCTATTAAAATGTTATGAATGCTTGATTTGATCACAAATTTAGTAATTGGATGTACATTTCAATTTATTTTATTCTATATCAAAGGACAAATAACTCTATCTGTATAAACATACCACAAGATCAGAACTCTTTTGTGTGCAGTGTAAAGAGGGCTGTTAAGGTTTTGCCAAAGGTCAACATTTCCAAAAATTTATTTTTAAAATAGCTCCAAAACTATGTGGTTTATAAAGTTAATACTTTTACAGTTTATAAATATATCATTGATTAACAGATAGAAAGTTTCACTTGAAAACAAATATTCAAAAAAAATATATTTTTTGAGAAAAAATATTTCAAAAAATTTGCATATTTTAAAAAAATGCAGGTGCATCTTGACCTTTGGCAAAACCTTAAATATGATTACCGAAGGCTCAAGTGAGCTTTTCTGATCACTTTTTGTCAAGTTTGTTCAAATGAGGGCCATGCTCTCTTTCAAGGGGAGATAATAAAGAATTAGTGAAAAATTAAAAGCATCTTTTAAAAATCTTCTTCTCAAGAACCAGAGGGCCAGGAAAGATGAAACTCATGTGGAAGCATCCTCAGGTAGTGTAGATTCAAATTTGTTCAAATCATGACCCCTGGGGGTAGGGCAGGGCCACAATGGAGGATCAAAGTTTTACATAGAAATATATAGGAAAAACCTTTAAAATCTTCTTCTCAAAAACAGCAAAGCCATGATGAGTCATATTTATATGGAAGCATCCTCAGGTAGTGTAGATTCAAGTTTGTTCAAATCATGACCCCCGGGGGTAGGGCGGGGCAACAATGGGGGATCAAAATTTTACATAGAAATATATAGGAAAAATCTTTAAAAATCTTCTTCTCAAGAACAGCAAAGCCATGATGAGTCATATTTATATGAAAGCATCCTCAGGTAGTGTAGATTTAAGTTTGTTCAAATCATGTCCCCCTGGGGTAGGGTGGAGCCACAATGGAGGATCAAAGTTTTACGTAGAAATATATAGGAAAAATCTTTAAAAATCTTCTCCTCAAGAACCACAGGGCCAGGAAAGATGAAACTCATGTGGAAGCATCCTCAGGTAGTGTAGATTAAAATTTGTTCAAATCATGACCCCTAGGGGTAGGGTGGGGCCACAATGGAGGATCAAAGTTTTATATAGAAATATATAGGAAAAACCTTTAAAATCTTCTTCTCAAAAACAGCAAAGCCATGATGAGTCATATTTATATGGAAGCATCCTCAGGTAGTGTAGATTCAAGTTTGTTCAAATCATGACCCCGGGGGTAAGGCGGGGCAACAATGGGGGATCAAAATTTTACATAGAAATATATAGGAAAAATCTTTAAAAATCTTCTTCTCAAGAACAGCAAAGCCATGATGAGTCATATTTATATGAAAGCATCCTCAGGTAGTGTAGATTTAAGTTTGTTCAAATCATGTCCCCCTGGGGTAGGGTGGAGCCACAATGGAGGATCAAAGTTTTACGTAGAAATATATAGGAAAAATCTTTAAAAATCTTCTCCTCAAGAACCACAGGGCCAGGAAAGATGAAACTCATGTGGAAGCATCCTCAGGTAGTGTAGATTAAAATTTGTTCAAATCATGACCCCTAGGGGTAGGGTGGGGCCACAATGGAGGATCAAAGTTTTATATAGAAATATATAGGAAAAACCTTTAAAATCTTCTTCTCAAAAACAGCAAAGCCATGATGAGTCATATTTATATGGAAGCATCCTCAGGTAGTGTAGATTCAAGTTTGTTCAAATCATGACCCCCGGGGGTAAGGCGGGGCAACAATGGGGGATCAAAATTTTACATAGAAATATATAGGAAAAATCTTTTAAATCTTCTTCTCAGGAACATCAAAGCCGTGATTGATCATATTTATGTGGAAGCATCCTCAGGTAGTGTTGATTCTGTTTTGTTCAAATCATGACCCCCTGGGGTAGGGTGGGGTCACAATGGAGGATCAAAGTCTTAAATAGAAATGTATAGGAAAATATCTTCTGAAGAAGAACTGCAAAGCCATGGTTAGTCATTTTGATTTGGAAGCATCCTCAGATAGTGTAGATTCAAGTTTGTTAAATTGATGACAATCGGGGATAGGATGGGGTCACAATAGGGGATCGAAAATTTTACATAGGAACATATAGGAAAATATCTTCTTCTAAAGAACTGAAAATCATGTTTAGTCATTTTGATGTGGAAGCATCCTCAGGTAGTGTAAATTCAGTTTTGTTCAAATGGTGACCCCTGGGGGTAGGGTGTGGCCCAATGTGGGATCGAAAGTTTTACATAAGAACATATAGAAAAAAATATTTCTTCTCAAGAGCAGAAAAGCTATGTTTAGTCATATTGATATGGAAGCATCCTGAGGTAGTGTAGATTCAAGTTTGTTCAAATGATGACCCCTGGGATAGGAAGGAGCCACAATGGGGGATCAAATTTTTACAAAGGAATATATGGGAAATTTTTTTTAAAATCTCAAGTACAACAAAGCCATTTGTTATATTGACATGGAAGCAACATCAGGTAGTTTAAAATTCAAGCCCCCCCCCCCCCCCCCTCCTGGTTATCTTTTCAATACTGAACTGATTTGTGTTTTTGCCTTGCCAATGTGCTCAGGTGAGCGATGTGACCCATGGGCCTCTTGTTTATGTATTGTGAACTGTTGGGTGTGTTTAAGTAGACCTGTGTGTATTTTACAGTGCCAAAGGAGATCAACCAACAGATGGAGTTTGCTAGTCCTATTGGCAAGACCCGTAACTCTTTAAGGAACCAGAGCAGAGTTCTTCCTCAGATGTCAGCTGATCTTTCATTCAATGTCAGCATGAGACATGCCTTCATTCCTTTCCCAGGTAACATTACTTATTGATATACAGTAAACCCAGTACATTGTATTATTCAAGACAATTTTTAGTTGCATTTCATCAGTTTCAAAGTTCATGTTTGCAACTGCGAAAATATTTAACATTAAAAAATTAAATAAATGTCCCAGTTAGAAATATTTGTATGCAAAATAAGGTTGTAAAAACCTGCAGATAAAAGTTGGTTTACAGTATACTTAAGATTTTGGAGAAATAGTTACCTAACTTTGACTTAACTACATGCCATTTTTATTCATGCATTTTTGAATACATAAGAAAGAATGGTTAGATTGAATAATGCTGACTATTTCTTCCTGGCTGCGACTCATAGTGAATTAATGGTAAAGTTTAAATTAATTAATTATGATATATATGTATCTGTACTACGTAGGGGGAGTTTTGCTGGCAGCTGACTATTCTCAATTGGAGTTACGCATGATTGCACACCTATCGCAAGATGCCAAGCTGATACAGATTCTGAACGGTGATGGGGATGTTTTCAAACTGATCACAGCTCAGTGGAAATCAATCAGCGTGGAGGAGGTCACTGCAGAGGAGAGACAGCAGGCTAAACAGGTGAGAGAAGGTCACAGGTTAAAAAGGTCAAACTAAAGAGATGAGAGAAGGTCACAGGGTCAAAAGGTCAGAGAAACAGGTGAGAAAAGGTCACAGGGTCAAAAGGTCAATCTAAACAGGGACAGTGGTCTAATCAGGTGAGAGAAGGTCACGGGGTCGAAAGGTAAGTTTAAACAGAGAGTGATAGCTAAATCAGTTGAGACAAGGTCATGTCAATCTAAATACTGACAGCAGGCTACATATGAGAGACAAGGTCATTTAGTTGAAAAGTTAATTTAAACAAGGACCACATTATATAAAAGAGAGGGAAGACTAGATATTGAACAAATGACACAGAGTGATAAGGTTGATATATCTAGATTGAAAAGAGACAGCTTGTCAAACAAATGATACAAGGCTATAGTATTTAGGACAATTTCATAACGAAGCTAAAAAGAAAAGAACTTAGCACCAGCAGGACTCAAGTCCAAGACAGCATATGTACATGTATGTTGAAACGGATTTGATTTTCAAGTAACCATCAAAGTACATAGTCATCTTTTCTTTATACAGATCTGCTACGGTATGATCTATGGTATTGTTGTCTTTATACAGATCTGCTTTGGTATGATCTATGGAATTGTCTTTATACAGATCTGCTATGGTATGATCTATGTTACTGTTGTCTTATACAGATCTGCTATGGTATGATCTATGGTATTGTTGTCTTTATACAGATCTGCTTTGGTATGATCTATGTTATTGTTGTCTTGTACATATCTGCTATGGTATGATCTATGGTATTTTTGTCTTTAACAGATCTGCTATGATCTATGGTATTGTTGTCCTTATACAGATCATCTATGGTATGATCTATGGTATTTTCTTGATACAGATTTGCTATGGTATGATCTATGGTATTATCTTTATACAGATCTGCTATGGTATGCTCTATGGTATTTTCTTTATACAGATCTGCTATGGTATGATCTATGGTATTTTCTTTATACAGATCTGCTATGGTATGATCTATGGTATTGGAGCCAAGGCACTAGGTGAGACACTGGGAGTGGATGAAAATGATGCAGCAGTTTTCATGCAGACCTTCAAGTCCAAATACCTGGGTATGATCTTAACTTCATACAGTGATAGGATTGAAAGACATTAAAATGGATTAAGATTGTGACATACTCAAATATGTTTCAGGAATGAGGCGCTACCTGAAGAACACAGTAGATAAATGTGTAAAGGACAAGTTTGTGGTGACAATCAGTGGGCGACGACGGTATCTCCCATCCATTTCAAACACAAACCCCTATGTCAGGGCTCATGTAAGTAACACAAACCCCTTTGTCAAGACTCATGACACAAACCCCTTTGTCAGAGCCCATGTAAGTAACACAAACCCCTATGTCAGGGCTCATGTAAGTAACACAAACCCCTATGTCAGGGCTCATTTAAACAAGCTCAACCAAGTTGGATAGACTGACAGACAGACAGGGGGACAAACAGACAGACAGACAGACAGACGGACAGACAGACACACTCAGAGGAAACCTATAGTCCCCTCCAGTTTCAGGGCTCATATTAATAATGCATATGCCTATGCCAGGGATCATGTAAGATGCATAAACCTCTCAATCAAAAATCGATGTGTTTTAATTTGATCATTTATTTTCACTCACAGGCAGAGAGACAGGCTGTTAATACCACAGTTCAGGGGTCAGCTGCTGACCTTGTCAAGGTCGCCATGAACAGGATTGATCAGAGACTCTCTGAAATATTTCCTCTCTCACAGAAAACCCTCTCACACAAGGAACAAGGCAAGTTTATGCATATTTACATGTATATTTATAAAAAAACCCTGAGAACTGTATGAATGACAGACATGTTATCACTCATTTAATCATTATCAGAGATACAGTTTTTGGTTTGTCTGTCTGTCTAACTGTCTGTTTGGCCACCAGAACTTTAACCTTAACCATCACTTTTGAATGGTAGGTGCCAGGGCTTTCATATTTCATATTATATATTCCTTGTGTCAAAATATTTCTGTTTGACATTGTGACCTTGACCTTGATGTTTGACCTATTTTTGTAAAACTTAACTTGGCTGTAAGCTGTCATACAGGGGCATCAATGTTTCACTAACACATTTTGTTTTAAACTTGTTTTAAAACAAGTTTATTATTTCCCAACAATTTATAAACAAGTTCAAGTACTTATTTTTTTTGTTGGCATTTCAGATACCACTGTTGATATATCAGGTGACAGATGTTGTTTAGTTCTACAACTTCATGATGAACTGATTTATGAGGTGTCAGAGACATGTCTGAGACAAGCAGCCAAAGTCATCAAACAGGAAATGGAGTCAGCAATGACCTTGTCTGTTAAAATGCCAGTGAAGGTCAAAAGTGGGTTGTCCTGGGCAACAATGCAAGATCTAGATGTGTAAATTATGAACTCTGTATTTAAGAATGTCCGTTTGAGTCCAAGACACTTCATTGAACAAAAATATTGTGGATTTGAAAAATGCTGTGAAGAAAAATCTTGACATTTTTTTTATTTGATATCATTTGATGACAAAACGGGTCCATATTCTGTGATATAATATAATTTCTATTTTAATTAAGGAAAAGTTGTTTCTTTTAAGTTGTTATGATTTGAATAAGCTCTCCGAATCAAATGAAATTGTTGATTTTTGAATGAATTTCTTAAATTATTATGCCATAGATTAAACAGTATCATTTGACTGTATGTGTGTGATATGGAGGAATCTGATGTACATAGAATGAAATGGTGTAAGAACATAATCAGGTCTGATCAAGAATTCTGTGTGAATTAAATACAGATGTATATTTATTGTAACATGTACATAGTTGTGATTCGATCAGACAATCTTTGAAATAATGTTTACTTTTACTTTGTTTGCCCTCTCCCAACTCAGGGTAAAAAAAATTTGGGTCGATAGGTAAGTGGGAAAAATTTTTTTCCTAGAAAATTTCAACATGCACATTAATAAGGTGAGAAAATTCAGGAATAAAAAGAAAGAAAAATATTGTTTCTTGGAAGTTAAAGAAAATTTTTTGAGTTGGGCCATTTTTAGCTCTACTGGTCAGAGACCAGAAGAGCTTATGCGATAGTAAAGTGTCCGTCGTCCGTCCATCTGTCGGTCTAGCTGACCGTCCGTCTGTAAACAATTTTTAAAAATGCTAGTCCTCCTACAGTTTTGGTCTGATATCAACACAACTTGGCACACAAGTAGACTATAATAAGATATATAATTCTGTGTATCGGTTTTTGATTTCAATAATTAGTGGTGCCATGGTTCCTAAAAATAGAGATTTCTTGGAAATACTTTCAAAAGCTACTCCTCCTACAATTCTGATCTGATTTCAATATAACTTGGCACGCAAGTAGACTACAATAAGATATATAATTCTCTTTACAAGTTTTGGATTTCAATGAACAGTGTCGCCATGGTTTCTAAAAATAGAAATTTTCTTGAAATACTTTCAAAACGCTACTCCTCCTACAATTTTCGTTTGATTTCAGTATAACTTGGCATACAAGTGGACAACACTGAGATACATATTTGTCATTATTTCAGCATTTTGATTTTGTTGAATGAAGTTGCCATGGTAAATTAAATCGAAATTTCTGTAAAATTGTTTTAAAAGGCTTCTCCTCCTACAGTTTTAGTCTGATTACAATAAATCTTGTACCTAGGATCATTATTATACCTCTCCCCCCTGCAAACGAAATTTAGGGGGGTATATTGGAATCAGCATGTCCGTCTGTCTGTTCATCTGTCTGTATTTTGAGAGATTTTGTCCGGACATTTCTTGGAAACTGTTGCAAGGATTTGTCTGAAAATTGCACACTTATTAGTCACCATAGGAAGGTGTGCACCTGTTATTTTCATCATGATTGGATAATTTTTTTTTGCATTTTACAAGTTTTTTTTTTTTTCATTTTTATTATGTGGTTTTGTCCGGATCTGTTCCCAGAGACTATTGCATAGATTTGTATGAAAATATGTATACTTATTATTTACCATTTGAAGATGTGTACCTGGTATTTTCAACATTATTAATAATTTTTCTGCATTTTACAGGTGTTTTTTTTTTTTTTCATTTTTATTGACTTAGTCATTTCGGGTTCATGTCTAAGGTTTGAGACATAGAATCTAGAACATCTGTACAAAAATGTGAACTACAGCTTAAAACTACTCATTAGAACCAAAAAAAAAAAATCACAAAGTATTAAAACAGTTTTTACATTATAACACAGCAGATAGTGTAAATCCATTTGTCCCTTGGGAGTAATGAGTGGACATGCATCCAGTTAAAGGCATCTCTGATCAAGCAGGTCTTATATATATCTCATGGAATTGGGCAGAAAGAAATAAAGATCTCTGTTGTCTAAGCCTCTTAATTGTAATTTATGTCTGTCAAAATACATAGTTACTGGAATCAACCTTTCATTTTTAAAATGAGTTTGATATTAAGGTATTAAGATCAATTTGATTTTGTATAATTAATTATGATAATTTTTTTACAACAATCAATTTGCAGAGTGTCATGTCTAACAAAGATGACAGATAGTTACAAACTATTTTTTCAATGTAATAAAAACACTGTAATTATTAGTATTGATGTTTTATTAGGCTGCATCTTAGTTTCATTCATTAAAAAATATAATGAGTGAACACCTCTCACATCTAGAAAACATTAGTGATTTGGTACCTTCTCTGAAAAACCCAGCGGGGGTATTTGTCCCATTTGGACAGTTCTAGTTCTTTTTATATACACTTCTTAATTGTATAAACACATGGGATCAAGGAGAACAGAATTACTGAAAATACATTGAATTCAGCATATTGTGTCGGAAATTTCTTGCGATAAAATGATAATTTGATGTTACAGGGTGTCATCATCATTATCATGAACATAATAAAAATTCATGGTAGATACAGTGGTTATATATTTTTAGGTCACCTGAGTAAACTCAGGTGACCTATTGCTATCCGTTTCCATCCGTCGTCGTGCATTAACATTTGAACATTTTCAGCCTCTTCTCTGCAACCACTCAACCAATTTCAACCAATTTTGGCATAAAGCATCTATGGGTAAAGTAAAACAAAAATTGTGAATTTCATGGTCCCTGCCCCCCTGGGGCCTGAGGGGTGGGGCAAAAACCACTAAAATTAATGCAATCTTCTTTTTTACTCCTGGATATCAAGCAGTTAAACTGTTGGCATGATTGTAATAAGCATTGAGCCCTCTACCAAAATTATGAAATTCATGGCCCCAGGGTCAGGGGTTCTAGCGCTAGGGCGGGGCTCTAATGATTATATAGTGAAAATCCATTAAGTCTTCGAAAATCTCCTCCTTTGCTCCTGGGTATTAAGCCGATGAATTAATTACATAGTTATGATGAGCAAGAGTGCTTCTTTCAAAATTGTGAATTTCATGGCCCGAGGGTCAGGGGTTCTGGCGCTAGGGCGGGGCTCTAATAATTATATAGTGAAAATGCATTTATTCGTTGAAAATGTTCTTCTCTACTCCTTGGTATTAAGCCGATGAATTAAGTATATAGTTATAATGAAGAAGAGTGCCTCTTCCAAAATTGTGAATTTCATGGCCCCTGGGTCAAGGGTTCTAGTGTTAGGGCGGGGCTCTAATGATTATATACGCGGGTATGTTAAGGAAGCATACAAATCATTTCTCGAGAAATTTAGACTTTTTAAAGAAAATTAAGATTGATAATTTGTCAAAGTCGCCGATAAAACGTAAACTATTTTTAACTATTATATAAAGACACGGAGTGTCTGAGGCCAAGTAGTGCATCACCTCGACGTCATCACGTGACTGCTATTAATAGCAAAATATTCCTTAATAAAAAAAGTTCACAGAACAACAATACCCCGGAGTTAAATATTTTCTTTAAGTAAATAATATAGTTGAAAAACATCTCTTACGCCTAAAAAGTGCTGCTAGAATCCCACTGTCCGGTCGGGAAAATAATTATTCCACATATTTGCACGAAACCTTACCCGATGTTTTGCATTATATACATATAACCCGAGATATTTCTTCAAACCATGTTTACCTCACGATTCTAGCAGCACTTTCCAAGTATTTTAGAACACAAGCTTTCGATATGTACAAATCTTATGTTTTTAAATATCCAGCTTAGTGTTGTTCTTTTGCATTATTGTTGTCACAAATGACAGAGGAAAGGCCAACGGGGATACGTAAATAGCTGACTGTCTTCAATAGAAGATATAATCGATGAAAAAAAATCAACATACCTGTTTAACAAACTTTAACTTCACATGAATAACACACAATATTCACGGTATTTGCTTCTAAACCCCTTTTACGTATCTTTTTACATGCCGTCTTAGCCAAATTCTCGTTACACAACATGATCAATTCTCAAGTTACTTGTTGAACAGTTATGACGTCATCGGTCGGAGATTTTAATTCAAGTGACAGATACAGCATAATAAAATAAAAACATTTGATTCTTGTCAATATTTGCACGTTTCTGTTTATTTTCAGGAGTTAAACTTTGTCTCTAAATAACAATATTAAGAAAATTTGTTTTCTAAACTTGACGTCATATTGTATCACTGATTCAGTCAAGTCAGATTATCATAGTGCTTCCTTAACACACCTGCGTAGTGAAAATACATTAATTCTTTAAAAATCTTCTCCTCTGCTCCTGGGTATAAAGCCGCTAAATTAATTACATAGTTATGATGAGGAAGAGTGCCTCTTCCAAAATTATGAATTTCATGGCCCCTGGGTCAGGTGTACCATTTGAGGGTGGTGGCGGGGGGCTTATTTATTATATACTGTATATACACGCCTACAAGTCGGATTTTTGGGAGTTAAAACCTTGGTCCAAAACTCTTTATCCGACTTATGCGCGAGTTATAAAAAGATTTTGTATTTTAGAGTGTCAATCCCTCTAATTTAAGCTTAAAAAATACAACCAACTTATAGGCAGACCGAATTATAGGTGAGTATATACGGTACTGAAAGTAAATTAATGCTTTGAAAATCTTCTCCTCTGCCAATTGGTTTTAATAAGACAAACTAAATACATAGTTATGATGAGAAAGGATGCTTCTTCCAAAATTAAGAATTTCATGGCCCCTGGGTCGGGTCAGGGGTTCTTGCACTTGGGTGGGGCTCTATTGATTAATTAGCATTAATGCTTTGAAAATCTTCTCCTCTGCCAATGAGTACTAAGCAAACTAAATGCAATAATATCAATGTAAATGTATAAGATATAATTACAAGTAAATGTGCCTTTTTTTGCTTCTGGGTATCTAAGAGGCAAACAGAGTACACAATTATGATAAGTGAAGCAAATGAGAGTTACTCCCCTTTGCTAAATGTTGTTAATCAAGAAATCTTTGCATATACTTTAATTAACAGGTTATTTGATTGAATGAGAATACAAGAAAGGATAGAAACAAAATAAAAATGAATGTTTGGTTTAAATGAGCAAAGCATGCTCAAAGTCAGATTCTTGCCTGAAAAGCAGTATAAAAGATTGACATAAAGATTATTATATATTTAGCAAAAGTTGTAAGTGTACATTGTATGTTTACACTGAGGTGATCTACATTG